CTGCTCACAGTGAGGGTTCTCTCCCTGGTTTCCCGTTGCCCTCCCTGGTTCTCTTTGGGGTGCAGCTCTGGGCCCTTTTCCCTCACGCGAATCCCTCGACGTCCACTGGCCAAAGGCCCCAGTTCCCCTGCTGGGAGGGTGTCTGGGGGGACCTGCACCTCCTCCCTCACCCTGTCCTGTGGTTTTGGTCTCCAGGCACTCCAGGCGTTGGGAAAACCACGCTGGGAAAGGAACTGGCATCCAGAGCAGGGCTGAGCTACATCAATGTGGGGGACCTGGCCAAGGAAGGTGCTGGAAAAGAGGAGTCACCAGAGCACGGGGGATTCTTTGCTCTGTGCAGCTGTCTGCTTGTGGTGGGAGAGCTGGGGTTGTGCTGCCTGGAGAAGAGAAGGCTCTAGGAACAACTCAGAGCCCCTTCTAGGGCCTAAAGGGGCTCCAAAAATGCTGGAGAGGGATGTAGGGCAAAAGATGGTATGAAGGATAAAGAAAAATAGCTTCCCGCTCCCAGACAGTGTTCCCTGTGAGGGTGGGGAGGCCCTGGCACAGGTTGCCCAGAGAAGCTGTGGCTGTCCTGTCCAAGGCCAGGTTGGATGGGGCTTGGAGCAACCTGGGCTAGTGGAAGGTGTCCCTGCCCATGGCAGGGGGGAGGAACGAGATGAGCTTTGAGGTCCCTCCCAACCCAAACCATTCTGGGATTCTATATATTAAATCAAAAGGCAATTAATTTTCTCTAACAGGACCCTTGGTGGTCAGTAGTAAATGACAAACTTACCCTTACACAGATTTGTAAACCAAGTGTTCCCTCTGCTGAGCTCTGCCTTTGTTTGCGTCCTCCTGCAATGAACATACCCATGTAGACAGTTGTGGTGGCTCTGCCCCCCCAAACTGCCCTGACCCCGTTTGTGCTGCAGGGGAGCTGTACGAGGGCTTTGATGAGGAGTACGACTGCCCCATTCTGGATGAGGACAGGGTGAGTGCAGCCCCTAAAGCACCCACGTGTCTGGGCCTTCTGCAGTGCCAGGGGAGCCTGCCTGTGTCCCTTTGCCCTGCAGGTGATCGACGAGCTGGAGGACAGGATGAGGGAGGGTGGGGTGGTGGTGGATTACCACGGCTGCGACTTCTTCCCCGAGCGCTGGTTCCACATCGTGTTCGTGCTCCGCACAGACAACTCCTTCCTCTACGACAGGCTGGAGAGCAGGTGTGCCAGGGGGGCAGACCAGGGCAAAGGGGGGGTGTTTGAGGGTGTCAGTCACAGAATCTCCACTGCTTCTGCACATCTCACACTCTCCCTTGGTGCTCTTGTTTTCTAGGGGCTACACAGGGAAAAAGCTGCAAGACAACATTCAGTGTGAGATTTTTCAGACTCTTTATGAAGAAGCTATGGAGTCATACAAAAAGGAAATTGTGCACCAGTTACCCAGCAACACTCCAGAGGACCTGGAGAGAAACTTGGATCAGATTATGCAATGGATTGAGCAATGGATGAAGGACAACAACTGACTCTGGGTGGAACAGTAACTGCTGAATCTCTTCCTGGGAGCGTTCAATGAATGACATTCATTTTGTATCAGTTAACGTGAATTTTACTGTAACTGGATATGGTTGGGGAGTAGAAGGTTTAGAACAGCCAAGTTTGTGAATGTTTGGAACAGCCTCTGAAGCACCCTGGGAGAGACACACAGGAGAACCCACACAAGTGAATGGAAGGATGGAAACAGCACCAAATTTCTCAGTAGAGGAGCTGTGTTCAATAATTGAGAACTCTTTGGGCCTCACAATTAAAACCAAACCATGAACTCACCCCAGAAAAACTGTAAAATACTGATAACTGATGGCACTTTGGATTTCTAGAGGGTGCAACGGTGTCCTGAAAAGGGGTTAATCTAAAGCTGAGTTGTGAGATTGGAAACTGCTGTGCCCCACTGTGTCCTTGGGTGTGAGGCTAATGCAGACGAGGGGTTGGTTCAGGTTAAGGAAGGAAGTGACATGGTAACATTTATTTTAAAATTCACGGAACTTTGGGAATTCCTTCATGGGTAAGGACACATGGGCTGTATCTGCACTGCTGTGGAATGCTGAACAATAAAGAGCAATAAGCTTTCTTTTCCCTTTTTCTCTCTGTACTCCCGATCACCTATACCGGTAGTGGAACACAGATCACTGCAGGTTTACCCCGGAAATACATCCCTGGGCAGGAAAACCTGTGGAGCCCCAGAATGTGGCTACAATTAAAACACTGGCAGCCATCTGTTCTAATTGCTTGTACAGCCTGGACCCCAGCAGGGCAGGGCAGATAAAAACCTTCCTTCACTGAAAAGCCTGCTGTAGGAAGTGCTTGCTAATAAACTCAATATACATGGTATAGTAAAACCACTTTCTTAAAGATTTCTGTTATAAAGAGTATTATTGTTAGGTATTTAAGATTATTGCAGATAGGGTATAGGGTTTTTGGGTGGGACTCAGAGGAATACTGCATCAGCAACTTGATTTTATAAACCAAAATGATGATAAATCTGGAGTTTCCTGCCACAACTAAGAAAAAGCACTGAGGAAACACAGGCAGAAGTGCTTTGATCTTAGACGGCACTAGGGAGCAGGGGGAGGGCGGTCTGTGGGGTGGAGAGGACAGCCCCAATTCTTGGGAGCGCCTGGAGTGACCACGTCAGGTCACCTCAGGTCGCGTTTTCGAGAGCTGCCTGACACCTCTCGGGGCTGCGGCGGGGCGGGGGCTGCAAGGAAAACAGGGACCTCTTTTAAAAGGTAAGAATAACCAACCCCACCTTCCGCCGAGCTCCGGATGCCGCTCCCGGTGCCGCTCCGTCCATCCCGCCCCGAGGCGGGACCGGCGTCGCCCTGTGCCGGTGGGTGCGCAGGTGGGTGCGGGGGGGATCCAGGGGTGCTCTGGGACGGGAACGGGGCCGGGGAGACCCAGGGGGGTCTCAGCGAGGCGCTGCCCCCGCTGCCGCTCCGGCCCCGGCTCCCACCGAGGGGTGGGAGCGATGTTTTTGGCAGCCCCGACCCGCCGGGGGAGCGGCCGCGCACCGACGGCTCCGTGTGTCTCACTGCAGCGTCGTCCTGCTGCTTTAAATAAACGCTTTTCCTTTTCTTCTAGATAAAACAGTCGCTTTCAGGAGGTGCTGTTGGCATTGGCCGTGGTGAAGGGCCCTCGGTCAGGAAAGAAAAAAAAAAAGAAACAAAAAACAAACGCAAAACCAGGAGGAGAAGATGGAGGGAGAGGAGGATGACATGACATGTGGAGACTTGGGAAACGGCCTTGGGAGAAGACCTGGAGGTGTTTATGAAGGGGAAAACTTACAAAATCCCTATTCAATTAGATCCAGGAAAGGATCTGGAAAGGCTTGTAATTCCCTCTTGTCAGCAAAGGGAGCGGAAGAAAGTGATGCTGCAGCTCTTCCTGGTCCAAAACGAAACAGTTTTTACGATGGATCACTCAGAAAACCTGCTGCAAGTTCCACACGGCAGAACAGCTGTGGTAAGAGTAATTGGGAAGTTAATTATTCACCGGGGAAAAACCTCTGTTAGATAAACTGAGCCGTTCAGCTGATTCACATATTGTCATCAAGTTTAATTTGAACCATTTGCCGAAGTCGGTGAAGGATTCTAGTAAGTGCCTGTGCGTCTTGTGCCTGCTGGGAATCTCCGCCTTCCCCCCGGGACATTAACGGCACAGTTGCTTTTCAGAGATCGAGGCTCTGGCCCTTCTTAGTGTAAAACGCCCGGTTTTAAAGTGTTTGTTTTTGCTTTTTAAAGTGACATTTAGCAAAGAGCGTCCTGTGGTGGCCGTCTCTCTACATACATACATAAAATTGAATGGAATTGCTTGGATTCCTGCTTTGTTTAAGTAACTTTAAGTCTTCTCAGGTATCCTATCTAGAGCTTGTGGCTAAATATTCGAAAATCTCATTTGCTATTTAGTTGAAATTTGTGATTTGACTTCCTTTTGGGCTAAAAAGTTCTTTTCAGAACCTATGTTGGCATTCATCTTTTTCTTTGTGAAGGAAACGCTGCTGTAAATACCATCAGGTGTAGGCAGTGCTGTTCATTACACTTCAGCTGCTTTCCTTTACATTTTTAGTGTTTTGACTGAGGTATTTCTGCATCATTTGCTTATTTCTCTCCTTCAGAACAATTCCCCACTATCCCAATGCCACAATAAACTAAGCTGTCTTAAAACTGCCCTTACTTCTACATAGTGCCAGCCACTGTTGTGTTGACTGCAGTTGTTGAAAAGTTACAATCTTAAAACAATCTAAAAAATTAAATTATTTTTTAAATCAAGAGGAATTTTTCAAATTTTTCCAAAGGAAAGTATAAAATATTTGTCCTTATTTTCTGTCTTTACAACTGACCTTTTTCCTGTATTTCACTTCTTTAACTGTGAGCACTGTGTTTGAAATTAATATTTATGTATTTCTTAAATCTGTTTATTAGCTCCAGAAAAAAGGTAAAACAAACCACAAAGATGAAAATTCACCTCTGCATTTTACTTGTGTTCAGGTTAAAGCAAATTCTTGGTTTTTTTCTTTAGATATTATAGTATCTCATCATTCAGTATCTCCTGTTAATCCTACAGAATCTAATACTGAAATGTCAAATGAAGAACTAAAGCAACGACTTCAGGAAGCTCTAGAGGTTGGTAATGGTGCCAAGGGTGCTACTCCCCAAATCTGCATTTCCTTTTAATGTAGCAAGAGGATCTTGGCATGGCTAGAGCATGGATCTTGGCATGGATCCAGGTTCTTGAAATTAGAGGGGTACTTGGAATCTTCATTAAATTTTACAGCAGGAAATCACAGTGTGAGGTGCTATTTGTACTATGGGGGTTTGTTGGGGTTTTGGGGGGGGCTTTTTGAGGGGTGGGGAAGGTATTTTGAGGGAACTAGAGAATATTGAAAGTAATATACTTCTTTAGCAGGTGTTATTTTTTATTAAGCTTTGGGGCCTGAATATCTGCAATGTAAGCAATCTTTGGCTTTTTAGTCTGCATTTTTGTTGAGAGGTGGTTAACTCCTACATTTTGGAGTTCCAAATGTGGTTAAATGTGTTGGTGTGTTGGCATCACAGCCAGCTGAGCTCAGCTGTGAAAATACACAGTTTATCTGCTCTGTGTTCTCTAACCTCAGGGGAGCCCCTGAAAAGAAGTCAAGGAGGTAAAAACAGAAGAGGGCAAATTCACTTTGCTGCTACAGTCGAATCTTAGCAGGATTACCTTGGCCTGTACTCAGTGTCCCTATTCTGTTTTGCTTCAGGAAGTTGAAATTTTGAAAGTTGAGCTTGAAGCGTGTCAAAGGCAGCTTGAAGGAAAAGATGAAGCCCTGAGAATCCTGCAGAGCATGGTAGGAGTTGTTCAGAAACCGTTGGGTAGGTGGCGGTGATGGAAGGAAAAGGGAAAACCCTTCCTGCTGCTCCTCATCCAAACCTCACAAACCAGGATTTCCCAGCGCTGCAGTTCAAAGCACTAAGTCTGGAGGTGTCTGCAGATGTGGCTGCTGCAATGTGCTGCTTTTTCTCCACAGATCTGATGTGGTTAGGGAAGAAAACTTTACTGTTGTAGCAGTTTTATCTCTGAGGATCCTTCAGGATTTATCTATTTAACATAAAAATAAGGCCATTTTTTCAGTCCCTTATGTGATAGATTTTGCCAGGGCTTGAAATCCTGCTGCAAGTCAAAAGTGTTTTAGTTACTCCTCCATCTGTTGTCCTAGAGGACAGTGTGGGTTAAATGTCAGGTCATTCTTTTGCTCACAGTCTACAATAGTTCTGTTGGTCACTGTCACAATGAACTCTGGTGAAATCAGTTCCTGCTTTTCTGCCTCCTTGCATAACCCATTTATAGCTGAGCAGTTTCTGCCCTCAGACATTTTCAGCCAGTTACACTTGGATCAACGGCTTAACCGTGTTGTAACCAAGTGTTCAAAGATGGGATTTTCTGGACAACCTGTGAAGAACAACGTGATCTCATCTTAAATTGTGCTGCGTTTTTCAATAGGAGAGATTGGAACACAAGTTTGTTGTGCAATTTAGTGACTTGGAATCAGAGCCCACTAGGGCTTACAGGCAAGTTGTAACGTTTGTCATTCTGCACGCTCCTGTTTAACGAAGGATGTGAACTTCTCTGTGTGTAGGACTGAACATGTGTCTAAAGCCAAATTAAGTGAACTTAATGACAGTGTTTGACAGTGGGGTTTTTTTCTCTTTTTTTTTTTTAGGCAGTATTTAATAAAGCCACTAGTCATACAAAAGAAATGCTTCAAAAAACTGAGGAAGAAAAGAGGACTTTAGAGAAGGTAAGGGTGTGTATCCTTTACACATGGAAGCCCATGGCTATTAATGAGGGATTAACAGACTGTTCATTTAAATCAGTGCAAACCTGCCATTAATTCCAGAGCTTTTAGGAAAGTGTTCTTATCCTATTTAGTGGAATGGGGAAACGTTAATGTGTCGCTGCTTTGATCTGGATCTTCTTATTTTTTAGAGTGTGCAAGTAATACCTAAAAATTACCAGAGTTCTTCCTTTACTTTCAGCTGGTGTTAGTTGTGGGTTTTGGTCATTCACAGTGAGTTGCTCAGTTCTTCAGGGATTAAGCTGAAAATTCCCAAGGGGTCTAGGAAACATGTGCCAAGTTTTCATAGGGAAGATGGGGAGGAGGAGGAAGGTGGCATGGAACTGCTGTGTCAAACTGAGTTTTGTCCTTTGTTTCTCCTCCTGTATGGCCTTTCCACAGATCAGAAGGATGACAGGCAAATGTGACAGTGTGGGTTTGGTTTTGTTACAGCCCACTGGAAGCATTAACACAGTCCTCCTGTCGCACAGTGTGGGATCCATAGGTCACTTCAGTGTCTGGCACCAATTCTGTTATTAACAAATAATCCTCACTGGTCACTGAGATTTCTCTTCTTCCTTTCTTTGGGAAGCCTGTAATGTGCTGCTGCAGGTTTGTTTCTTTCCACAGGAAATAAATATTTTGCAGTGGGAAATTGAATTTGATCAGGATAGATTTAAAAACATAGAAGACACATGGACAGAAAAATACGACAGGTATTTTACTTCCACTGTGTATATATTTGTTTTCATTTTTAATTTCATTGAATGCTATGTGTCATCTTTTTTTGTGTTCCAAACTTGTTTCATCAGGTTTTCTGGGGGTTTTGTGTTTTCCTAATTCTCTTCCAAATTTTAGAAGATTTATTTTATTTTCATGCTAGTCACATTTGTACTTTTCAGTTAAAACTACTAAAATTGTTGTCTTAATTATTTAGCGTGTCTATAGGCTGGCTTTGCTAGGCTAAGCTTTCATTTTCATCCCATTACATCAACCAGCTGGAGGCAGATTATTCTTATTTACCTTAAATGTAAATGAGCATAGAAAATAATGGGGTGTGCCTGCACGTGGAAATATAATTTCCTGGTTAATCATTGCTTTATTTTCTTGGATTGTAGATCTGAGCATAAGTACAGGTAAAATAGAAGGATTTTGAGAGAGGCTGATCAACTGGTTCTTTGTTTAATTAAGAGTGACTCTGGGTGGACAGCAGGTGTGGTTGGGCAAGAATGTGCCAGAGGCACTAAACTAATAATGTATAACAGACCTTGAAAAATGTGACAAACAGACTCACTTATGGAAAAGTAGAAATTGTATCTCTGAAGTCTCACCATCAGAGTTGTTATTGTAATTATTTTTTTATCATTATTGCTGATGTTATTAATATTCGGTATATATTTTTATTTAGAATATTTCAACTTAGAATCCAGGAATAAGCCAAAAGTTTACAAACTTTTCTTTTGTTGACTTACACTTGTTGAGGGATGCCTCTGGAAAAAGCCTTTGGCTTTCCTGCCTGAGGAGGTTGGAAGTGTAGCTGCCCAGTTTGGAACAACAAAACTGGTGCTGACTGTCGTAAAACAGAGACATAACTTCAGAAAACTGAAAGCCAGGGGCTCAGCCTGCTTTCCAAAATGGTTTTCTGATATCTAAGATAGCAAGATGAGAACAATGTGTATTTCCCTTTTTTTTTCAGGTGAAGTAATTCAGACTATTTAGTTTTTAACAAAGCCATGCATTTACTGACAGCTGAGGAGATGCACCAAATAAATTGTACTGCTTTGACATTTAGGTCTTCAGATGCCACTGCTCTATTCAAGAGGAAAATGCTAAAATACCTCACAGAAAAATGCATTGTCAGTGCACATTGTGTCTGCTCAGCTGGCAAGCCCTGAGGGCACAGCTTTCCTTGAAAACAGGGTTCAGACTGCAGGAAGTTTACAGAGCTGAGCTGTCACATGTCCAGTATCAGTTTGCTCTTTCAAGGAGGTAGGAGATTCCTAGCAAATGTTTCAGAGGTTCATAATTACTGCTTGCTTTGAGTTTCCAAGGAGAACAGGGCACTTGAACCCATCTCTTCTTAAACCCAGAAGCTGTTGGCACTGTCTACTTACACATCAATGATTTTTTTTTAACATTCACTTGAACACACCTGGATTAAATTGGCTGTGTGAGGGTGTGGTTTCATGGCCAGGGTGAGCCTGTTTGAACAGCCTGTGGCATCTGAGAAACCTCAGTGTGAGTGTGGAGGTTCCTGGTTCTGCTCCCTCACCTGCACAACGAGGGGTGAGCAGGTTACACACACTGGTGTAACCTGATGCATTAGCCTGGCTCAGGAGGACTGCCACAGTGCTTTTTGGCTCCTGGCTACCAAATTTGCTTCTAACAACATACTACAGATTGTTGGTACAGGCATTCTTACGGGAAAATATTACCACTTTTTCCATGAAAAATACTACAAGTGAGAAAACTGCTGGTACAATTCTCCATAGGTAAAAACTTGTCAAACCAAATACTCCTTTCACTTTTTATTTTTTCTTCCATCCTTCCAGTAATCCTAATTTTAATTTGCAGAAATATTAGATATGACATTTTAATGGGATTGCTCTTTTAAATTATTTGAGTGCCCATTTTAAAACTTCTTTTTTCTTACAAGATAATAAAGCCTTTTTTTCTAACTTCTGCAGGATATACTGTGAAAATGCAGCTTTTAAAGAAGCATTGAAACTGAGGACAGAAGAAGTTAAAACACTTAAAGCTGAAAATGCAAGTAAGCCACCAACAGCTCTTCTTCTTGATGCACTGTTTCTCAGGAGTAATTAATGATTTAGCTATGAAGGAAGCTTCTTGTGGGAAGAAGTGTGTTTTTAGTGGCAGCTGGTGTCAGTGGATATGCAGAATCCCTCTTTAAATTGGAAAGGAAGTAACAGCAGCTGCTGGGTCAGAGGGCTCCAGTCCCTTTCCCTTATTTTTGCCTCCCAAAAACCTTTAAAATAGCTGATTTATATAATTATTTCCCCAATGTTCTAGCAGACCAGCTGGCTGACTTGTGAGTGTACAATGAGATGAGCCCTTAGACCTGAGGCCCAGTAATACATGAAATGGTGTCTAAGCGGGTCATTATTTCTGGGAAAACACAGAGAGAAAAACAACTGGAATATGATTTTGTACATTGTCTCATCGGGTTCCCAAACTGATGCTTGAACTATAGAATGCTTTGCTTTGGGTGCAGTTAAACTCAGAAATTAAGAAATCAGAGCAGAAGATTTTTCTAATCTCTTTGATTTATTTCGTAGTCCTGAATCAGCAGTGCTTGGAATTCCTTGCAATGCTCGATGTAAAACAACAGAAAGTTGTTCAGGAGAACATGTTGTTGAATAAAAGTGACATTACTGATTTTACAGGTCTTGAAGTAAGTATTTATGTGTTTTTCAAATTCGCTGGTTCAGAGATATGTTTGTATTCAAAACACATAGAGAAAATTTGCTGGCTTGTTACCTATCTCTTTCTTTGGAGCCATTTTTAGCTAATTAGTACTTAGTTACCTAATTTGCATGCCTGTTCATGAATTTTCTACTTTGTTGTCTGCCTTGCAAAGAAAGAGGAGACAGAAGGAGCATTGAGCAGTTTTTCACAAGCCATGATGCTTGTTTTTCTTCTTCCTGACATTTAAACCCAATTCCTCATGCTTTGCTTAGCATAGAAGTGTTCTGGTGAGGCTGTGGGGATCAGCACACCCAGGCTGTCAGGATTTGTCTGGAAAACACTGTGAGCCAGAAGCCATCCTCCAGATCTCCTACCCCTTTGCTGCCCCTGACTCTCACCCTCCCTGTGCTGCGTTTTTGGGGGTGCAATGGGACACTTGGGTGGTGGTTTTGGTGCTCCTTTTGGTGAGCTGTTTGTGGGGTGTTTTGGGGCTGTTTGTGTGGTGGTTTGTGTGGTGTTTTCGGTGCTGGTTTGGGTGGGATGTCTAATGGGTGGCTCGTTTTGGGTTTCCAGCTGGCGGTGCTCGGGGCCTGCACCTGTAGCAGCTCCGAGGGGCAGCCCTGCCCCTGTGCCAAGGTGGCAGCTCTCACTCGGAAGCAGCTCCTTCATCTCAAGCGAGAGGTAACGAGGCTTGGCGGGGGGGGGACAGGGGTCAGGGTGCTCAAAACCAGCAAACTCAGGTGTTTTAAAGCCAGAAGGGCTTTACGCTATTTACAAATAGTGTAAAGTTTGTTTGTGGTGCTTGTAATGCCCTGGCTTTTGCCGGTAGAAGCATTGTAATTGTGTCTATTTGGCTTTACTAGTAGGAAAAACAATAACAACAACAACAAAAAAATCTTTTGCATTCTTTTTCCTTCCTCCCATATTTTTTATAAAAGGAAAACACACCCTAAGTGTATACACTCCATAAATGTACACACTGTGGGTGTGTACTGCCACTGACCCTCCTCCTTCCTGACGTGCATTCCACCCCTCCCTTGGGTTGGCATCAGCACCCACAGCTATGTCAGGAAGCTGATCTTGCTGGAAAGTATATATTTACCTCAGGCTTAAATCAATAATGTGACTTTCAAGCACTTAATTTTTTTTTAAATTTAGTGAAATTCTGTGAATTCAGAATTTTTATTTTAATTTGATTCTGCAAATGTGGAAACTGTTCTTGTGGTCCTGCTGCAGAAGTTCCAGTTGACTTATTGGTTTTGAAAATAAGGACTGTCCTGTCCCTTTTGTACCCAAGTTATTATCCTTGACATAAGTTTCATTCTCTTTGTTCCTTTTGCTCCTGGCCCAGCTGGCACAGGATGTTATTGCCCCCCTCAATCTCTTTTGCACGTGCAGAGATGAACAGAGGTAAATACACAGAGATGATTGTCAGCATAGATGGCAGCTGGTTTGTGCATATGTATAGAAAGGACTTTAAACACATCTCAAAATATGTCAGGAAAACTCTTCATTTGGTTCCTGCTACTTCCTTGATTATATTTATTTACAAGTTGTCTGCGTCTTGATACATACTTTATATTTGCTTTTGCTTCCAAGTTGCTTAAAGTACTTTAAATTTTCCCTGGATTAAACCCAGACTGAAAATCTGAAGAAGAGTAAGGATGAAGCGTTTCTCATGGCAGATGCCTTCAGAATTGCCTTTGAGCAGCAGCTGATGCAGAGGAAGGACCAAGCCCTGAGACTTGCAGAAGGGATAAAGATGAAGAAGGAAACTAAATTTGCCAACTGGAGGCGTCTGAGAGGCACTGGTATCTGGGCCAGCCGAGGGTCTGGGAGGTTGGCTGCAAAAGGAGGGAGCTCGTGGCTCGAGCACCTTCTTACCCTGTGAGATGTGTGGCTGTGGCTCAGCTGCTGGTGGGGGCTTATGAAGAGTCAAGAAAAAACAAAGTTGTGAATACTCACTGTGATACTAAATAGTGTGTTTTGTAATTGAGGAATTTCTGCCGTGAGTTTCACGTGTGAAATGCAGGGTGTGCGTGTGTGTAAGTGGAATATACAGGTCGTGTAGGACACTGGAGCTCCCAGTCCAGGCCTTTACTGCACCCTTTTTAAAATTACACATGTATGAACTCCACTATCTGACTGAAAACATGGTGGAATAAATAAGCTGTTACACAAGATGACAATAATATCTGGCTGGTAAAGATGCTTGTTATAAAAACAGCAGAGAAAAGCCAGGTGGAAGGGTGTGGGACTAGATGAACTTTAAGGTTTCTATGGGTTTTTTTGGTTGGGGTTTTTTTGTTGTTGTTGTTGGTTTGTTTTGTTATTGTTTTTTTTGTTTTTTAAAATCAATTTAGCTTTTTATTTTGCTTTTGATTATTATTCTTACACTTAATATGTTACAGAGTTACAAAGCCCTCTGTAAAAGAGGAAGAATTCGAATCTGTAAAATAGGACGAATTCTACTAATCCTTTTATTCTTTAAAAAAAGGAATAAAGAGAAGTATTTCAGTTCTTATGTCCTGGTCAAAACCATTGCAGGATTTAGGAATGGGACATCAGAATATATCTGTGTTGGTAATTGACCTGGAGCTGCCAGGATTAGAAGTTTGGTTGGTCTCCCAGATTTCTTTAGCACTCTTGGGATGTGGTACTACAAGAGCAAACACCCTGACTTCCCCTACAGCAACATCATCGCTTTCAAGCTCTGTAGTCTGGCGCATACGACCCATAATTTTAATGTATTTTAATATTTTTAGAAATGTTGCAAATGGCCTGTGTTTTTTTCAGGCTACTTACTGTTTAAAAACTAATTACCATGAATTCCACAGCTCATGTACTTTTGTTTTCCTTAGAGCGTCTCAAGTTACAAAGCAACAAGAACAATCTGGGTCAAAAGCTGTCCAGCCTGCTCTCCTCAGGTGGGGACTGCAGGAGGGTCGAGGAGCTGGACAACCCCAACGAGATCCTGAAGATGCTGATAGATTTGGTCAGTATTTTGTTCACCATGACCCCCGGGGGGAGCACATGCAGTTTACAAACAGCGCCATGCTCTGAGCTGACCAACGTCTTTCTCTCCTTTCTGTGTTAAACACCCCCAGGTGAATGACAAGGAGGAGGCCCTGGCCCACCAGAGGAAGGTCAGCTACATGTTGGCCCGTGCCCTGGAGGCGAAGGAGGCTGTTTTGGGATGGGGTGAAGGGAAGGGGTTGTTGGGCCCTGCTCACGCCTGTGGCCACAGCCCCCCTGCCCGGAACAGCATCCCCTCAGCTCCCAGCACGGACACCCACGGGCATCCTGCAAAACCCCTGCAGAAGTCGCTGTCCTGGCCCTTGGGCAGGGCAGGGGGGCCCCTCTGTAGCCTCATGCAGGACCCGCTGGGTTTGTGAAAAAGAAACACTTTGTGGAAGCGCCAGAAGCCGCCCCGTGATTGTGTCAGTGTGAGGGTGCGATGGCCGAGGCCATGAGGGCCCGGAGACCATCGCGGTGCTGAGAGGGGCAGGGTGGGCCAATGTAATGGTGATTGAAAACTAGACGGAGTGTTTTTGGGCTGCCCGAGCCCTTCCCTGGCCCCGCATTACCTGGTGACAGCACGAGAGAGGTGTCACCATTGGGGGGGAGGGATATGGTGTCATGGGAGGGGATGTGGTGTCACGAGAACCAGTGGGGCTGACAGAGCAAGAGGGACATTTTTGGGAGCTCTCTGAACTCACAGAGTCAGGTTTAGAGAGGAGACATTGTTTATTCTGTGGGGGGTGGAAGGTGGACGCTTCCACAAATCCAGCATACCAACTGTCTAAAGCTGTCACTGTTTATACACTTCAGCAAACAAAGGTGTTAATGTCCATTGGCTACAAGTTACATAGTTCTGTTGTTAATTTCAGAATCACAGGATCAGTTAGATTGGAAAAGACCTCTAAGGTCACTGAGTCCAACCTATGACCCAACACCACCTTGTCAACAGACCATGGCACTGAGTCCGCATCCAGCCTCTTCTTAAACACCTCCAGGGATGGTGACTCCACCACCTCTCTGGGCAGCCCATTCCAATGTCTTATCACGCTCTCTTTATACTTTATATTCCATTGTTTAATGACTCTCTTACTTCTCATGCTAATTGATGCTGTGCTCAGTCTTTCTCTTCTTCCTTTGGGTTGGGGGGTTTCTAGGGTCAGTGCTCATGATCTACCCCTGTTGGAATCAGCCTGTATCCAGTGGGAGCTGATTCAGCCCAGGTCCTGAGCTGTCTTTACTAGTGCCTTCCTCATCTTGGGAGTTCTGCCAGATGTCCGTGTGGGCCATAAATTCTGTATTCCCTGTGCTCATTGCCAGTGGAAATCCTTCCACCCAAGGTGTGATACCCTCCCCCAGGGCTGAGATCATTGAGACACATCCAGCCCTAAACCTTAACAGGGCCAACAAGTTTCATGGCCTCTCTTGCTTCTTGGGCTTGAAAGTTAAAAAGATCGACCACAGAACATCCTTTCTTAGGAAAACTGACACAGTCCACGCTTTGCAGCAATCAGACAGGATCTGGCCCGTCGCCCCCATCTCGTTCCCCGTAACCCTGTGGGCAAGTTGTTAATAGTGTCTGACTCTGTGATGTCACACACGTCACCGCGGGGTGAGGGTGGAGCGGGAGTGACGTCACTGCGCGGAGGGGGCTGTGTGACGTCACGGGCCGGCGGGCCTGCTGCGGGGGCAAGAGGCGAGCTGGCCCGCGTCCCCCCGCGCTGTCATTCACCCCGCCGGCCCCGCCCGCCCACGCTGTCATTCACCCCGCCGGCCCCGCCCCCACGCTGTCAGTCAGCACAGCCGGCCCCGCCCCCACGCTGTCAGTCACCCGCAGGCCCCGCCCCCACGCTGTCAGTCACCCGCAGGCATCCCGCCCACCACGCTGTCAGTGCACGCCCGCAGGTCCCCGCCCACGCTCCGCAGGCCCCGCCCGCAGGCCCCGCTCATTTCCGAATGCGAGAAATACGAATATGTGGAAGAAAGCCGAGACTTGTGCTGTTTTTTAAAAAAATAATTCCGAATGCAATCACCTTGATTTTGAAATGAAATTACCTGTTATGATTTTCGCAGTCCAGTTCTGAGATCTTGGTTCCCAAATTCATTGCTGAAGGGCAGTTAAGAAAGGGGGAGATGATTCTGTCACACTTTCGTGCTAAGCTACTTTACATTCAGTGTCATTCGGTGCCTTCTCAGACAGGTGTGTGTACATCTGATATACTGCGATGGTGCTCACTGGCCTAAAAGAGACAGTGTTACACAAATCCTGTCAGACTCTTCAGCTTATGTCCTCACCACCTCAGCATAATGTTTCTTGCGGGTTCTAAATCAAATTATGTAGGGAGCTAAAGTCATACAACTGCATATATGAGCCCTTTATCATATTTATTTTTGGTATTGTCTGGAAAAAGTGCACAGACTGCAGCAAAAGATTTCAGTGTGCTCCTGTAGCTTCTTCTGGATGTGACAGACATCCATAAGGCAGCTGGTGCCCCTGATGTGCAGAAGGGTGAAGGCTGCCAGCAGAGCTGAGGGACCAGCAGCTGTGTCTTGGATACCCTCTGCAGTCAGGTGGCCCCAGAGGCTGACAGCTAGCTCTAAAAACTGGACTTTGTCAGTTTTCTACATTTTCTTGTTTAGAAAAGGGAGGATACATACTGCATGGTCAAGACAACTCCAGGTAATGAGTGAAACTTATTTTGTCACTGAGCAACACATATAGTTCAGGAATGCAGCTGTACTTCTTTCTGACATACATGGGGCTAGAGGTGTTACAGCACCACAGGCTATTCCCTGCAGCCATTCTCCTCCAGTGATGTATCAGAAGCTTTTCAGCCCATCTGTCAGATTACAAAATATTCTCTAGACCCTCATTTGCTTATATTTAGTTCTACCCTGTAGCATTTCTTGTGTTCTTAAACCTTTTCTTTCAGTTTGCTAGTGGCAAACCATTTCATATTATTAAATCATAGGCCTGCAGCAAAGTGTTACATTATGCATATGTCTACTTACATTCTTTGTTTACATTACATTTGGAGATGAGTGAATAGAAGTTTTTAATGATGATTCACTCCGCTCAGCTTCCCTTTGGTGTACCAGCTGTAAGGGTTCACAATGAGATCATAATGAAACTCAGTCTCCAGGGCAATAAGTAGTTTTTTTGTGTTGGTTGAGAAAGGTTTCCTGAAAGCAAGATGTTTCAGTTTCTTTATCCAATATTTCAATGACTGCACTAAGATTTGATGAAGCCAAACTGGTATCAAAGCATGAGGCTGAATTAAGACAACCATTGGTGTGCCCTAGTGTCCAGGAAGGCCAATGGTGTCTGGGGGTGCGTTAGGAGGAGCATTGCCAGCAGGTCACAGGTGACCCTGCCCCTCACTCAGCCCTGGTGAGGTCTCACCTGGAGAGCAATGCCCAGTTCTGCTCAGGACTAAGAGACACTGAGCTCCTGAAACAGGTGCAGCAGAGGGCTACAAAGTTGGTCTGGAGAATCTGACGAAAAAAGGCTGAGTGACCTCTGGAGATCATCTAGCCCCATGCCAAGGCAGGGCCATGTAGAGCAGGTTATACAAGAATGTGTCCAGGTGGGTTTTGAATGTCTCCGGAAAGGGAGAATCCATGACCTCCCTGGGCAGCCTGTTCCAGGGCTCTGCCATCCTCAATGGAAAGAGGTTCTTCCTCATACTGAGGTGGAAGTTCTTACATTTTAGTTTATGGCCACTGCTCCTCGTCCTGTTACTGGACACCACTGAAAAGACTTTGTCACCTTCCCCCTGACACCTGCCTTTGAAGTATTTGTACATGTTGCTGAGATTCCCTCTCAGTCTTCTCCTCTCCAGACTAAACAGACCCAGGTCCTGCAGTCTCTCCTCATTAGAGAGATGCTCCAGACTCCAAATCATCTTTGTTGCCCTGCCCTGGACCCTCTCCAGTAGCTCCTTGTGCTGAGGAGCCCAGAACTGGACACAGCATTCCATATGTGGCCTTGCTAGGGCTAAGCAGAAAGGCAGGATCACCTCCCTCGACCTGCAGATGACCTGCTGACTTGCTCCCGATGCACCCCAGGACACCACTGGCCCTCCTGGCCGCCAGGACACACTGCTGCCTCAGTCTCTGACAGTTTGTCCTCCGCCGAATCAGCCCATGGCTGGCCAGGTCAGGCCAGGCCTGCGGGCAAGAACCGCGCTGTCCCGGCTTACCCGGGGAAGGAGCGGGGCTGGGGAAGGAAGGAGCGGGCGAGGGTACGGAGCGAGCGGGGCCGGGCGGGGCCGGGGCGGTGGCCGGGCGGGGCCGGGGCGGGGCCCGGGGCGGGGCGGGCCCGGGCGGGCCGGGGCGGGGGGGCGGGGCCGGGCGGGGCTCGGGCGGGCCGTTGAGCTCATCCCAGGGGCGCCGCGGGGGCCCGGGCGGCGCGGAGCGCAGGTAACGCGGTTCCGGCTTCCGCGTGTCCCCGGGCGGGCAGCCGGCTCCTGCTCCGAGCGTTCCCTCCTTGCCTTTGCCCCCCCCCCCCCCGGCTCCATCCCTGCCCGGGCCGGCCCGCTCCGGGCCGGCGGGCCGAGGTGGGATCCCCGTCCCGCGACGCTCCCGCCAGGCCGCGGCTGGGGAGGCGCTCCGGGAGGGCACGAGCTGCCGTCACTGCCTTCGCTCATGAACTGAAGGGCTGCCCTGGAGCGCGGGGAGCAGCGCAGGGCTCAGAATGCAGCGCAGGGGGATGCGCAGCAGTACCTGCCGCCTTTTGTCGCACCGCTTGAATCAGTGCCCCTGTTCTGGGCCTCTGGTTTCCTGAAAGAGCTATAAACATCGACCCACTCAAAGCTGGTTATTGAGCTGTCCCACCCGTTGGCCTTTTTAACACTAGAAACATGTAGGTGAAACTCGTATTTTAATAAATGGTATGTAATTCATCTTAGGATTTTGGCCTAGTTGTGTGTTAGTTCCTTTGCTCAGTTTAATGCTTAGTTTTGCAGAGGTCAGGTTGAGTGTCTGAGGTGGCTTACCATTGTCAACATTGGGAAGAGAAGAGTCTTTTTCTCATTTCAGCCTTAAGAAAGTGGTTCTTTGGCATGGTAGGTGGTAATCATATACCAACTGCTGCACTGAGTTAAAAACAGCTCTATTTCAGTACGGATTTTATTTGGATGCTTCCTATATACCAATATCATGTGACAAGCATGCTCCATCTCCCGAAGGTCAGTTGCACGTGCCCCTTCCTTGTGTATTTTGAGTGGAAATAATTCTGCTCCTCTTTAATGCTGTTCAGCATCTCTACAGAATCGGTGAAGTTGGAGGGGACTGCTGCAGACCATCAGTCGACTGCTGCAGCTCAAGCAGTGTTAGGTATACCAGATTATCACATCCACCTTGAAATAATTCTGTAAAATAAAACATGAAAAATTCCATCCTTATGTAAGTGTTTGGGATCTTATTTATAAACATAGTAATGTAGATTTGTGGGTAGGGACTTTTAAAACAAGTATTTGTTCTCTGTTTAATTGTTTTAGGTATTCAGTCACTAGTGTAATACAAATAATTGCCAGTGGACTAAAGAGAAGTTAAGGGGAATATCAGGATGCTCTTCTTAGCTTCTTTACCAATAGTAAGATATGCTTCTCTTTCAGTCTTTTGTTGTTTTTCTCAAGGAATTAGTATTTGGGGGGCGGATGGAGACTTTGATTTTTTGGTGTTTCCCCTCTTATTTCAGCTGAAAGAAGGAGTTTTCTATCTTGACTTGTAATTTCAGCTCATCAGAATTAACTTCCTGCTGTAACTTGTAGTTGGCAAAGGTCTTGCATTATGCTCATTATTTCTCTAGTTTTCATACTTAAAAGAAAATTTCTGGAATGGCACCAGTTATTATATCCAGGGACATTAGTAATTGAATTAATTTCCGCATCCAAACTCATTACAAAATGTGGTGGTTTTCTTGTGACACAGAGTGAGGTCTGCAAGCTCTCTTCTCTGGGTTGTTTTGTAGCAGTTTTAACAGTAGCAAATGTTCCTATTAGCTTGTTTAAACCTTACTTTCATCTATAGAAGAACTCATTCTTGCCTTGAAAAGGCTTAAGGTGTCTTACCTATTTGTGTTATGTGTCGGGGGAAAAAAAGTTTGTAATTACCAAAAAAATGGATACATATTACTTGATATTTAAACAGTAAAATTATTGTTGATGCTGATGTTCAAAACTGACTTCTGGGTACGATCTTAATGTCTTACACTGTGTGAAAAATTTCTAAATCTTGGATTTGGGAGAAGCTGCCATGAAATCAGTTTAAAGAGAATTAGTTATAAACTGCTTATAATTATGAAAGACAAGGTTTATCCAAAAGGCTCTTTTTTTTTTTCATTTTTAAATTTCTTTAAATGCTAAGTAGAGAGCGTTATAGGTTATAATTCTAATACCTGCATGTTGAAAGGAATTGAATTAGCTTTTATATACAGATGAAGCAAATGCTTAACTGAAGGTGAAGAGAGGCCAAACATGGCTTTGTTTTGCTGATATAAAAAGCTGTTGTTTAAATATGTGTCATCTGGATATTGGCCAGTGGAATGTAGGGAAAGTCTGTGGTGCAGAAGTTTGTCTACACCTTTTGAGGAATACAGTGAGTACATAATATAAACCAGCTGGTCTCTGTGCTCCAGAGGACCCTGTTTGCAGATCAGGATATTCCCTTAAATCACCGCTTGGGTGCACATGCCAGGCTTGTGTGCATGGAAATAGCTCCCTACTGGCAGTTGTTCCAAGTGGGTGATTCTGGCAGAATGAGCTGCTGGGAGAAATATCTTCAAACAGACTTAGCATAAATTGGTAGGGTTCATCTGACCATCCTTAGTTTTCTAGGAAACTGGATTTGCATAAATTTCTGTTGAGTTGCTTTAATTGGCTGTTATTTCAGGGAATGTGTTTGTGTACTGTCTGAAAAACAGAAGAGATGAGATGGAAATGAGCACTGTCTTGGGGCTTACTGCCTGCTCCTTGTGTCAGCATTTGTGTTTGAATAAGTTTCTGCAACTCTGATTTTCACGATGAAAAATAGTCGAAATAGTTTTTAAGGCATTAACCAGTTATTGTATTCAAATTATTTGGAACTACTTTCAAGTAGTTCCCAGCTTAAGAGAATTTTCTGGGGCTTGGCAGATGTCAAATACAGAGTTGTAACTGCTTGGTTTGGTTGGAGATCAGTCTCTTGATCTTCTCTCATACAGCCCTCTTATTTCTGTTTTTTAAGGTTTTGGAACTGCATGAAAAGAAACAGCTCTGAAATAAGAGGTGTTTTGTGTATGCGTTGTATTTGGCACACGTTTGCATGACAAGAGGTAGGACTATCTTGACTGCTGCATTTTGCACGTGCCTTTCACATTCGTGTAAGAGGTGAGGGGTGTTTTTTTGTGGGTTTCTTTTTTTTTTGTTTTGGTGGGGGGTTTTTTGTTGGTTTGGTTTGGTTTGTTTTTTGGGTTTTTTTTTGTTTGCTTTGTTTGTTTGTTTGTTTTAAATTCGTAAGCCTTTCATTTGCTTCCATTTAGCAGTGCCTCTGCTGAACCTTCCAACAAGTTCAGAGTTTTCTGATTTTCTCATCTGGATTATTACTGTTGGAGTGAAGTTAAACTGGAGTAATTAGCTGTTAGCAATTGCAAGTATCAGTCTCCTAGAATAATGGAATTTCAGTGTCAAGTACCATAATTGATGATTCTAGTTTTTAGTGGGCTATTTGCAAGTTTAACTAGACTACTTTTTGTAACAGTTATTCTCCATTTTCTTGTTCACCATTTGAAATGGATATTCTGGGTAATTCAGGTGCCCCTGAGTTTTTTTCCTCCACCTTCCCCAGTAGGATGGAATTATATTTCCAAGTTCTTCCCTTCCCCTTTCTCTTTATTACATTTTCCTTTTAAGTGTAACAATCAAGACTATGAGTTACTGTGTTACAAAGAAACTTTTTTTTTTTTGCTATAGGTATTTTTAGAAAGTTTAATCTTGTCTACTTTGCAACCATATTTTATTTTGCCTGGAAGCTTTTTTCTTGTATTTGAACCTATGGTTCTAATTCACATTGCTGCTTTTTGTATTAAGTGGAAAAACAATGTTATACAAATATCATTCCAGGAAGGACCATTTCTCCCCTGTTTCCCATTCTTTGAGCCTTTTATGCAACTCTGTTATGTGCAGGTGATCAAGAGTGACTCTATTCATGTTGGCTACCATCTGCTGTTGTGGTTGTTTTGTGAACATCTTGTCTTCTAAAATATTAAAACACGTAACCAAATAATTAGCTTGCCTTGTAATTTTATGACTTACAAAGTACATTTGATAAGGAAAGAGCATTGAATGTCAGTTCTATTTTTAAAGTATACTAGTTATTTGTTACATCTCTGTGTTGAAGAAGTGTCACACAAAACAGTGTTTGTAAAATGATCATCAGAAGTTTGTAGTAGAATTACAATTCCTGGTTATTTTTTATGCTTAGAGTCCAGTTAGTGAACCACCTTTTCTAAAGTTGAAATGCATTACTTTCACAAAAATGAAAACCAGATACTCATATTATGAGCATAACATAGCAAAGAATCTTGCATAAGACAATGTTGAATAAGAGAAGTATCTAAAAAAAAAAGACTGCATGACTTTTGCACAGTGGCCATAGCAAAACAAAGAATACATGACAGTTTAACTTCTGTGATGAACTTCTGCTTCTTGTTGCAACAAATGTTGATGCATTTTCATATTTTCATGCTTTTATAGGTATTTACGTGTTTTCCAGTGAGAAGACCTTTTGTTTTGCTGTAAAGCACTTTTGTCCGGAATATTGTGAGTTTCCAGCTATTAAGGTGTAATTATATACCTTAAGTATTTACTTATAGTTTTTAAAAATCTTCATGAACAATCTCAAAGGAATACTTGGAATGCACTCTAGTAAATTGGCTCATGTTCTTTTTGTTTACCAGAAGTGCTGAAGTGGTTGTAATGTGGAAAGTATATTAATCTGTGGAGATGCATTGTATATATGAAATTATTACTCTAAAACTTTAAAATATGAGGTAAATTATACTTACTCTCATTATTTAAAACCACAGTAGAAATATATCACTATCTCTTGATACATTTGAAATAAATAAAACTTCAAACAGTGCAGTAATAAATAAAGTTAGATGTTTCGTAACCATGTATCTTTTCTAAAGGATTAGTGAAGAGAGTCAACAGCAGCTGACTATAGTAAGGGTTGTTTCTGTCAGTTTATAAAAGCTGTCTAGAAATATTTTCACTAGAGTTCTTATCTGAAAAATACAGCCAAGTGGTTCTTGACAGCAAATCTTGAAGCAACTAGCTTGATGCCATCCTAGATGGATGCCGTTCTGTGGAGTTAGAATTACCCTTTGGCTGTATGATTTTTAATAAAGGGAACTGGACTTTAAATAGCTTTTAGAATTAGTGCATTTCAGAAATGGTTGTGAAATGATTTTTTTTTTTTTTTTTTTTTTTTAGAATATGAGAAGTGGAGAAACTACAATTAATTTCAATACTCTAATATTATTCAAAATTATTTTTGGCACTGGAAAGCTGAATATTCTTCTCTTTCTGGAGTCATCCTATGTAAGAATTGTCTAAGGCTTTGTAAAACTGTTGCCCAATAGACTGGAACATGGATCCACAGCTAGACCCCATGAAGGATGACTTGCCTTTAATGGCAAACACCAGCTACATGCTTGTAAAGCACTACGTGCTGGACTTGGATGTGGATTTTAAAAGTAAAGTTATTGAAGGCAGCATAGTTTTATTCTTTGAGACTGGGAGCCAGCACAGGAAAAACAGCAGTACTGGCAGAGAATGCTGCCAGTCAGAGTTTGATCAGTCCCATAAAATGAGGGCATCTGAACCCTACCATGTTCCTGTGACAAATGTGAGTGCCTGTTCATCTAAAATGGAATATAATGGTTTTGCTGTCAGTGGTGAAGGTGAAGAAGATACTTCTGATGAAAATGGTAACCATAGCAACAGTGAACAGGCTTCTGGGATTTCCAGTTCGGAGGACTGCTGTGACAGAGAGAATCATGGGAACCAGGATTTTGTGCTGGTATTGGACTGCTGTGATTTATCTGTGCTAAAGGTTGAAGAGGTAGATGTTGCTGCTGTGTCAGGCATTGAACAATTTACAAGGCCTGCCAAGCTAACTGATGTTTCAAAGGAGCTGGGAAATCTCAGGAATCACATTGTCCACGAACTCGTGGCTCTACCTGCAAAGCGCTGGGAGGAACAGCTGTGCTGTTTTACTCACTGCAGCCAGGCACCTGGCTGTGGAGAGCTTCCCTTTGCTACTGGCCCTTGGAGCTTGGAGATCAGGAAACCAGGAATTGGGACTCCAGCAGACTTCCCTCACGCTATAAGAATATGGTACAAAACCAACCCGGGTGGAAGATCCGTGGCATGGACCACAGACCAGAGTGGCAGGTATGTAACTGTTTGCTGAAAGCTTTGTGTGCAATAATTTTAAATAGCTGCAAGAATGTAGCAGAATCGTGTAGTTGCTGAGCAGCTGTGAAGATAATGAGTACACTCTTCCAGAGTTTTCATTTCAGCCTTGGTTTGAATCCTTTTGCTGTCCTCCAGGAGAACAGACAAACTCCCTGCTCGTGAAACTCCAGTGGACTTGAAGACCTCAGGCCTGTTAAGTGATTGTGTCTTTTCATTCTGAGCAGGAATAAATAATTTGTGTGTATGTCAATAAGTGTGTGCAGGGAATAGGCAATTATCATTTAGGGGAAGAAAAGGTGTGAATGACAGGTTATTTGTACTGTAATACTTCGTGTTCTTTTTCCTTCCTGGCTTACGCAACTGATTGTACAGCATGAAGATCAATACACGTTACATTTAACAGCCTTACTTCACAGCTAGTCCTTTATCAATATTGTAATCAGCTTAGAAATGCAGTCCTTTCCTGTTTATTCTCATAATCAACTTTTGAAATTTCCTTCATCTTTTGTGTTAAGCACATTGATGGTAGCAAATGAACTGCAAACTGAAACAAGAGGAAGAATTGGCATTATATCTAGTGGTTGTGAAAATATATGGTACTGTACAGAAATCTTTAATATAAACTCTTTATAGGAGGGAATAGCAAATAGTTTCAAGTTGATTTATTTTCAGGCTTGTGTAAGATATTCCAAAAACTAATGTCTATCAGAAAATCAATTTTCACACCAGACCTTCTTGCTACATTTTTAAAAGAAAGTTTCACGTGATGAACCCATAAATATAGTGATAAAGGTCATTGTACAAAATGCTGTCAATATTTTCTGCCTCTTCTAAAATTAAAGCCCATTTATAATGTATAAAGTATTATTACATTATATTCTCAGAAGAGAATTCCTTAAATTGTTCTAAATTATGCATATGGTGCTTTTTTTAGGCAGATGACAAATCCTTTGCCAGAGGAGTCTATACTTTGGTTCCAACCCTGAAGAAAAGTAAATAGCAAAGTACAAACATTGTGTTGACTGCTCCAATGTTTTCTTCTAATTTAACAGTAGTACAATGTTTTGAAATTTAACCTATGCACAACTTTATCAAGACTTCAATTTTATTTGTTTTAAACAATGATGTATTACAATACACAAAAAACAATCAATTGAAACAAAGCTTTTGGGGGATGAGTTTAGGCGAGTTAAGTGTATACAAACATGTTATCACAGCAGGGCACACTTCTGTTTTTAGTAGAGAAATTGAACACGTGGAATTTCAGCATTTCCCTGTTTGGACTCTTGGGGCCAAACAAAAAAAGTCAACCACAGAAGTGACTTGTATTAATGAAAAGAGAGAAAGAGGGAAAGCTCTAAAGCAATGACCGGGAAGCCTTCCAGAATACATTTGTTAAAAGAGACACTCCTGACCCCTCTGAACCGATGCTGTTCCTTCCACACTGCTGTGATGACACAGGTGTGTGCTCAGCTGGCTGATAAGGCATATTAGGTAGTTAATCTAAATGAAAATAAGGGGGGGGGAGCAGAGAATGGAAGAGAATAAGTTTTGTTTGGAATATACTACTGAGGTTGGTTTGGAAGGTAGCATTATCTACTACAAATTAGAAAATGTGTCATGAAAATAGATGTTTATTTTTCAGAGGCATGAGTTAGCATCGTTCTGTGCTGTTGCATGCTGGAAATGCAGGAAGGGAATAAAGAGCTTGTTTTTCTTCATGGACAAGGTTTGGTAGAATAAGATACTCCAGAACCCTGGCAAGTCACACACCAAATCCTAAGAGGCTGTCCTCAGCTGCGGGGAATTCTCTACTGGTATTTTGTATAATTTTGTTCCCAGTGGATATTTATATTTGAGTAATTAATGAAGCAGTGTGAAGTTTGTTGGATTACTCATGTCATATGCAATGATTCCTAAAGAACAACAAATGGTGTCATGAATACAATGGAGAAGTAAAACAAAAATAATAATAATTTTAAAAGTATAGGCAGACCTTGAGTACGAAATGAACAGATTTGATATTCCTGAAAATGTGAATGGCATCAAACAAATATTTCTAAAAAATTTGAATTAGGTCCTCTGAGTTAGTTGTCCTAACTAAGAGGAAGACCATGAAAAAACACATGGGTAATTATTGACTGGTGTTTTTTCCAAAAACAGAACATCAACTGAATGTTTATCATTAGCTTTAAGGCAGTAGCTTGGTTTGTCATTATAATTGATAGGCTTACATGGGAGACAGAGATCTGCCAGGAACTGCTTTGAACTGGTCTTGTTATGTTATGAAAATATGTGGACTACTGATGACTTAGGATTGCATGAATCAAATTTTCCTTGAAGAGATTACTGAGCAACAGACAGTCCCAAGTCTGCTCTTGGAGCAAAACCGAACAATACCACAACTAGTACTTGATCTCTCCAGTAGCCTGGATGGCTGTTCACTGGGAATTATTAGTCATAAAGTTGTCCAGACGAGTGACTGGAGATATGTTTTGCAGGCACTTGTTTTTCCAATGTAACAAGTAAATAGACAAACAGTCTGAGTTCTCTGCTTATCTTTCTTCTGCTGCATGCAATTTCCTTATCTATTCCAACTCATCTTGGCAAAGATTATGGGTGGCCTAAATATTATGTAAGTAGATGATCTGAATGTTACAAGACCATTAAAAGTGAAAGAGCAGAGTTGAAGAGGGTAGATAATAGGAAAGAAGAAAGGAATTGAGAAGTTTCTTGCTAGCAGGGGTAGAGATAAATCAGGGAAAAAAAAACGCAAATATTGTATCAATTGACAAAAGCAGTCTAAAAATAATTATTTGTCATTCTTTGATGTACCTAGGTTAGCTAGTAATTTTTCTGCATCAAGTGAAGAATCTGATCCATATCAGGATAAGAATTATATTTCTGGTCGCTTTACAAGCTGGAACTGTGCTACCTGACCCAGATCAAAGCAAATTATCAGTTGCAGTGAGTGTCCTAAAGTAACACTACACTATTACCAATATTGTAAAAAGAAATTAGTACTGTAAATGAAGTATAATACCTGATTAAAAGCCGATATAATTGTTGTTCTGATAGTTTTCTCTTGATGTGTAGAACTTGCCTTTCATTGCTATTTCTTTAGCAGACTGATATAATATGGTCTGAAGGTAAAAAGTGCTCTCTGAGAGCCAGGTAGCATTAATGGTCCTGGTAATGCCTGTTCTATGAAATGTTTGTACTGTGTTGGACACAGCATTACAACATTTGGTTTATCACAGTTCTGCCAGCCAGTTTTCTCAGTCGTTGTGGAATTTACCTCTAACATTTCTTTGGAATATGAAAATCCTGTGTTGCTCTTAAGACTGGGGTGTACTAATGGCACCCAGCAAAACAGCCTTCAAAAGGCATGCAAATCATTGGTCAAATATGTATAGCAGCACTAACCCCGCCTTTCCTCTCACTCCTGTGAACTCTGCTAAGATCTCTTTTTACAACCCTCTGTATTTTGATAAAGTTTTCATGAATGAGGAACCATCTTTTCATCTTCATCTCTCCCAGCACACATGTGTTTTAGGGTAAATCATAAGTCCAGTATCTCTTGGCTGGCCTTACTAGGAGGAAGCAGATCCTCCTGGAAGGTAAAAAAGCAAGCTCTTCCCTTTTCTTGTGAATTCACTTCTGTGCACTGTTTATTTTTGTGGGAGAAACCCAATTATTTTAGGTATATCAGAGTTGGTTACAGATTCCATTTTAGGAGTTTAATTCCAAATAAATTAAGTTAATTAAAAACTTTTACAGATGAGTGGTCTTTTGCATTTAGTTGTGCATTTTGTTTTACTGGTTAAAAGGTAACCAGTTGACTTTCTTTCCACTGCAGTTGTCTGAGCTTCACTTGACATCTGTGTCCTACTCTATTCACTCTAATACATGATAGGGGGAGTCAGATTATTTTCTTTTTCTGCTTATGTGCATTAACAACATGCCTACTTAAACTGCAGTTTCCATTCCTGTTTTACTGGAAAATCAGCTGGCCTGCATTAGTTAAACCACTTGTTTGACTAATTGATTGTACCAAGGTGACTTGATTGTGCCAAGGACAGCTCTGGGTCCGAAAGAGCAGATAGCACTTATGACAAAAGGGCAAAAATATCTTCAGAATATTTTTCATCTGTGACTGCCAGTTTTTTTAGCGTTACCTTTAGGGAAGGAATAATTTGAATGGAGGAGCAGTTTGGAGGGGAGTAAACAAGATGCTCAGATCGTAGCCATTGTAAAGTTGTTTTTACCTTAACAACCTGTCTCCTATTTGCTAAAGTGTCATGATGATTTTTAAACTCAAGTAATGAAAAATACTGATCAGAACATTTTTATTCTCAAGCATTCACAAAATAATGGATTGTGCTCCCAGAATATTAGCTTTAAATATCATAGGTTTTAAAAAACTATGTAGTGAAGTGATGCATCCAAGATTTTTTTCTTTTACTGGAGAAACCTACTGACTGTGATTCTTTATATAAATCATATTAGAAAAATTAGCTTTCTTTTTTTTTTAAGCTAAGTGTGTTGTTATGCAAGTAGTAGGAATTAAGATAAAACTGCAAAATGCAACAAAAGAAGTAAACCAAGAATCATTACATCCATCCACTAGCAATAGCAAGGTAGGAGGAGTTAAATGAAAGGCCTTGTTATCTTCCCAGCTGTGGCTGAGGGGCTAGTAAGAAATTGGCTGGCATAAAACTTTGCAGCTGAAATTGGAAAGGGGCAGTAAATCAAGAGGCTGCTGCCTAGGAAAGGGTTAGAGACACTGCAAAAAGAGCAGTACTACAAGGAAGCTTGCCCTGTGAAAATTGAGGAGGCTGAAGCTGATAGGGAAGATATTCTTTCTTCTTATTATGTGCCTTGTGGTTGAAATTCTGAAAGACAGGTGAGCATTACCTTACTCTAAGAATAAGGGTAAAAATGTCAGGATTTATTGAGGCTTGGACTAAAGAAAACTCAAAAACTAGATCTACTGCTGAGTTTGCATGAGCCTCCAGGTTGTTAATCCAGGAACTGGGATTAATGATAATGAAAGCACTACTGTAATTACAACAGGGAGGTATCACAGGTTGAAGCCCTGCAATGGCATCTTCAGAGGATACTCAGAAGTCTTCTTTGGCTTTATAGGTTCAGCTGAAAGCCAGGTATGAGGCTGGAAGACTCATGCAAAAGCAGTGGAGGGGAAAGACTAGAGTTAGTCTTTTCTAGTTTATGTAAAATTATTGTAGTAATCTTGCTTTTCTTGTCTTAAATGACTTAGATTGTAATTTTATTGGTTCATGTCATGCAGGTTTGAAATCTACAAAGCTGAGGTTAAAATAAAAAACATATCAGTACAACAGTAGTTTTGATTTTTCCTAGAGAACTTAATTCAGTCTTTCTTATTGTAAATCCAACTTCAATCCTTTTTCCTCCTGTCTAGGCCATGTGTTTATACGATGGGATCACCAATAAACAACAGAGCCCTTTTCCCGTGCCAAGAGCCACCCATTGCCTTGTCAACATGGCAAGCCTCTGTCCGAGCAGCTGCAGGCTTTGTGGTGTTAATGAGTGGGGAAAACTCAGCAGAACCAGTCCAGCTTCCAGAAGGTGAAACATATTCTTTATAGCAAATTATTTTCTATGCTTTTATAATTAGAAATAAAGCTTAGTAAATGCATGGTTTTTGAAAGAATGAAGTTCCTAACCTTAAAAGCACTTCCCTGTCTCTTTGCAATCTTCACGTCACTCTGTGGAAAAGTTACCTGCTCAAGGACTTAGGACAACTTAGTAAGAATTGAAAACATCAACATTTCACTGTGTTGCTTTTTACTTTTTTTTAACTCTGTGTTTCCAAAGCTAGATTTCACTTTTCATAAACTGGCTTTGTTTTAATCACTTCGTAGTTGAATGTTTCATAGATGAAGTACCTTATCAGGCTCTCAACAACTTCAGGCCTCGGTAGATAATTCTCTCTCCGTTGTAGTTCTCAGGCAGAGTGTAGTTCAGCATGCCAGTGATTACAAGCAGTCGTTGTGTCATATCTGTTTCCTGAAATACATGGAATAGATGAGAAGTGAGGAATATCAGGTCAGTGCCCTGCAAATCTGATCTCTGGGTGGTTTTTTTTTTTTGCATTGATAGAACATACCTTTTACAATAGTAAGCAGACAGGAATTTCTTCTGTGTTGGTTAAACTTTATTCTCTAAACTGCACAGAGAAGGAAGTTTTTAAGAGAGTTCTACACCTAATAAAGTATATCCTGCTCCCATTAGTTTTGATATATCGTGTCAAACTGGTTCAATATTTTCTAGTGTAAGTAGTTCTGATAAAAAGTACCATATAGGAAAGGGTTAGAAATAAGTATTTCTGGGGGAAAGAATCTTCTATTCCCCTTTATATAGGCAAGTTTATTCTTGGGGGGGGGGAAAGAATAAAAATATCCTTGATTTGAGAACCATCAGTTAATCTGTTTGCATGGAATTGTCTCGTTATGTTTGGCCGTGTATGAATCCTTTTTCAAGGCTTGTCTCTGCTGTTAAAATATGGAAAACTGCCATGATGAGCTGCTCAGCTCACTTGGAGATTAATACTTTCCTGTCTCAGCATCAAGAAAGCAAGAAGACTTGACTTTGGACTAGGATAAAGGCTTTGCCATCAATGTTTAATTAGTTTAATTAGAGACCCTCATTATCTTGGTGCTTAAATACAGATGGAAATGGCAAACCAGGGAGATGTTTGGAATTGTAAAAATTTACAAAACAGATATGGGGGGAAAAGGGAAAGAAGTAGTATTGAGAGGGATGTTTTAAAACCCAAACATCCTTAATGAATTTAGGAATACAAATTCATTAGTTTAATTAGTAGAACTTTTAAGAGTTAAAAAGCTCAAAATGGTCTGTTGTATTAAATAACCTATCCCATGTAGATCTTGTTGTTAGGCAATTATGAAAGGCATATGAAATGTATCCAACTTAAAGTTTTGTCTTTACACAACGAAAAAACCTTTCAGGGTTACTTCAATTAAAGTAAGTTTGCCATATTATTTATATGCAGTATGCTCTTGCTGTGTTGCATGATTATAAAATGATACATAACTGGCAGAATCGTAAAATATATTTTTTAAAATGCAATTTATCGGAAAGAATTAGCATTTAGGCAAGCAGTTGTGAATTAATCTATTCTGAAGAAAATTACAAGTCAGCTGAATATTTTTGCCCTTACAGGTTGTATTTATAAGCAGTATGCAGGCAGGCAATAAAAGAACAGCAAGCAAGGTCAATTCCTTCATGCTTTTAGAGGCTTGCATTCTGCCTCACAGACATGCATCTCCCTGTGTGTAGATGCAGTAATCCAGTGCACAGCTAATCTGGGTGTGCTCTCATGCACAGATTCCTCCTTTGCAGATTTTGGTAAGAGTGTGTTTCCTCCCGTATGTGTCATTTTTGCATTCTGCCTTCTACAAAACTGTGGTTGATCCCGTCACGTGGAATTGAGTGAGGCCACTTTTGTTTGAAAATAGTGTTAAAGACACGTATGCAAGTAGAAATAGTAACTGTTTGAGTGTGACCTAAAAGTGTTTAAAAATACCGTGGTTCTTTAGGGAGTAATTTGCAAAGGGGAATGAATCAGGAAAGTGCCATTGGCAGTGTCCTTTGGGAGAAGGCTTTGCACGGAGCTGTGTGTGTGCAATGGGAGCCATTTACAATAGGATTTATTTGTCAACGCTTCTCGGTTTTCCTCTCCTTCAGCATGCTACTATAACACACAGAAGGTGCAAATACATTTAGTCACAAACACCTTTCCACGTGTTTGATTCATGTTCAAGAAGCAGATACTGAGCTGTTAGGTGTGAAGTTGGCTGGGTTGCCTTCTGCGTGCTTACTCTGCCATTATAGAATCCTTGAGCTTGTTTTGAGATCTGCACTCAACTCACTCTGACAGTGACAAGGTGTGTACTGTTACTGGGAGGAAACAGGGTGCTACAGAAGCCACTGCTGCTGTTCTGTACTTAGCAGCAGCAACAGTTGCTTTTGTTTTGCTCCTCTCACTTTTCAGAAGGCAAAACAAAGGAGTCCAGCACTGGTGTTGATTGATCTCCAACACGTATCAGGGAGTACCGCATGGGAGCTGCCAGCTCATCACATCTGCTCATCCCTCTGAGCTAGTGCTGAACAAATGCTCTGGCATGAATGCCTGGGTGCTCTGTGGGAAATTCTGGCTTTCAGATGAGATCAAAGATCTCTACGAGTTACAAAGAGTTTCAGAAAGCTGGAGGGTTCTTAATCCTGGTGCTCCAACCAAGTAGTAGTTTTTGCATAACTACTTATTTAGCTGCAGTTTTCTATATTAACATTAGCTCTTACTTTGTGTGTCAGATGCTGTGTAGGGTTACCTCTCCTTTTCCCTAGAGGTAGCTGAGCTTCATGGTTGCAGTAGGCTGTGAACATCATCTGTATTTTGTGGTGTTTGTGTTAGTGCAAGCTATTTCAGGGAAAACATACTGATAAGTACAAATATTCACAATGGTTTTGCATCTGGCATCAACAGATACTAACTCGGGCATTTTTAACAGTTATAATGAACTCTATAGGACTCGAACAATTTTAATGATTTCAGAGATAACTAAATGCATTAAAAATTCTAGGAAGGAATTACATCATTCATCATTATTATTTCAAGTAGAAGAAATAAACAACCTTTAAATTGTTGTTTTGTGCAATTACAAATAGATTAAAATCTCCTGCTCTTGTTAAACATTTGCATGGAAGGTTTTTCAGTTATAACCCACAGAACAGGTGATTGTTGCTGCATGGTTTTTACAGTTATGGCATGATAGATTTGCTCTGCAGAACTGAAAAAAAAATATTTTCACAATTTCCTGTGGAGAAAAGAACAAAATATTTTGGAAATATTATAATTGCCTAAAATAATTATGTGTAGAATTCAAGTTCTTTTAAAATACCGTTACAAATAGCAGGACTGGGGTGATCTTCCTCTATTTTTCCAATGGACTAACCCCAGCGTAATATCTTGTTCTTCCCAAGGTGTTCTTGCTTAGTCTGCAGATGTTGTTATGGTACAAAATGCTGTTAGGTAAAGAAAGCCGCCTCCCTGCTCCCGCTGCGCTGTTTTCTGTTATCCTAGAGGTGGTGCTGTCTCCAAGGTAGACGCTGAAAACCACAGGGCAAACGCGGGGAGGGGAAAAGGAGTCGAGTGGAGCTGTGATCCCGATCTATGTCCTGGGATAACTCATGTGATACAGATGAAGGAAAACAAAACAAAGCCCACTGATGTGAAGAAAATGTAAGGAAGGAAGTGAAATTATGGGAGAGAAGGTCGGGCTGGGAGACCGTTTTACCAGTAGTGAGAGGAGAAGACAAAATAAAAGTTAGTTAGGCTCCCTTTGAAACGGTTCTTCATGGTTCTGTCTGCAGGGAAGCATTGCCAGCATAAAGACCATCTTAGTCACTGATCAGCCAATGCACCGTTTTCCAACCTGAACGATTCTGTCGTTCTTTAGAGAGAACTCACTTGTCATGCCTGTGCATGTGATTTTTGTGGTTCAAGACAGAACAACTGTAGGATGAGTATACAGTTATCCTACACAGTTCTACACTATGAATGCAGAAGGCATCTAAAATCCCTGCAGGAAATGGATTGAGCTCTGGTTAGGTGTGTAGAGACAATGGAAATCTTGGATCTTATTCTGGGAGGATCCATAGTTCCCATGATTTCTATAATGCTTGCAAAATAGGATGGGCTTTGGTACCTTTACTCTTTTGCATGGTTTGTTCTAAATAGCATATGTTCATTGCTACTCTGTGTAAATCTCTGAATGCTGCACATGCTGCTCTCTCTGCACTGCTGAACTGATTGCTATTCATTTTGACATTCTGTTCAAATTACTTGTTTGTTTTTTTTTTTTTTTAAAAAAGCCTCTTTGGTCTTGCTTGCTCTAACCTGTCTTACTAAACTTGTTTCTCACTGTAACCCTCTCTAATCTCTGTTTGCCTAGCACAGGCCAACACCATTTGCTTTTAGACAATCTCTTCATATTTGTGAGAGCCTTCTCCTTTGCACCTCGTGCTGTTTGGAACAGTTTTCTGTGACTGCTTTTTGACTTCCGTGCTTTTTTCATAGCATAGTTGAAAACACGTGATGGTTTTTCCATTACAATTCCTCAAATTTTCACTCTTCCCCTGCTGTTATTTAATTCTTAAGATTTTATCATTAGTATAACTACATGGAGCCTTTTGGAATGCTCTGTGTGTGACAGGTGCAATGCTAAGTGCAGCACCTCTGAGCCTTGCCTTGTGCACGTCAGTCAGTGGTAAAGCTGCTGCTGACTGCAGTGTGTGCCGGCTTGGGCCTCTAGCACAGTTTCTATCAATGAAACTCTGTACATCAGGAGTTTGGTATTTTGAAATAATATATTGTTGCAGTCCTGAGTGACCTTTTTCTCTCAAGGTGGTACTTGCTTGTCTTGGCTCATTTGTAGCTTTGTTAAGTTAATAATAAAAAAAAAAAAGGTGAGGTGAAATTTGGCAAACAGTTATCCTCTTTGTTCTTAATGTGTTTGGAGCAAAGAAGTTCATTCTGCTACATACTGACGGGAGGTTAGGAAAATTAGAGGAGTAATATACATTCACCTGACAATACAAAAGGGTTTTGATCTTGAATGTTGCCAGAAGTGGAATGGGGTGAGGGAGTATAAGTCTATATAAAGAGACAAAGGCTTTATCTGCCTCTCAGAAGACTTCACAAACAGTATTGTTTTTTCATACTAAATAGCAGGTGAAAAATTTATTGAGGCTAAACCCAAAGATGTTTTTGCTTGTCCTTCCTTTGGACAGCTTGACCTTCTGTGGTCATTAAGGTAGGAAATTAAGAGATGTTTTGCAGCAGTTCTTTATTTCCTTTCCTTTATGCCCTGGTGATATCCACTCAGTTGTGGATTTTTCCTTTTTAAATTTTTGGTAGTGTTCCATAGCCGTAGTCAGAATAGTATGGCAAAAGAACAAGTATTAATGTTCTCTTAAAATAAATGAAGTTTGTATGTTTCCACAGTTGCCCCAGCTACAGTTGTTTGCACATGATTCATCAGGTTGTAACTCATGCTAGGCTCTTTCCAAGAGAATTAATCTATTAGTATGGTGTAGTGACTGTATTATGGGCATAAATGAATGTGTGGATGTGACTTTTAAGCTATATCCTTTTTAAAGGGGCAAACTGAAAGTCTAAGCAACATTTATATTAATGGAAAGTGTGCTGTTCTAAAATGTCCTCCAGTTTAACAAAATCTGTTTGTACATACAGTCATCCTGTACCATACTCTTTGTCTTCCCACACTGTGTTCCCATAATGATGAAGCATCTTTTTACCTTCTAATAGACTGTCATCTTGTTTTAGCACATTCTGAATATCATGAGCAAATTGTTGGCTTATGTAATATCCCATCTGAGTCCAAGCTTTGATTTCCTACTGCCTGGTTGACACATCACATATCTCAGATTGCCAGGTCCAATTCACAAGCATTAGTGTTATTTGTTATAATTTGGCTATCAGTTTGGTACTGTCCAGAACACAAAGAAAGGTTTTGTTCTGTGTGACATAATACAAACAAGGCAAAACCATAAGGTGGTAGGTCCAAGGCTGAAAGAATTAAATTTTAATATTTTGTGTATGTTTGTATTTAAAGGTGTTATTAGATTTCATGTCTGATGTAATTCTTGGGCAGTAACAGTACAATTGGGTTAAGTTGCATTAATAACATCCCACTTATGGATGATTTATTTACAGATACGGACATCAGCAGATAGAGCAAAGTTGGAGGTGCAGGTAAACAGTACTGAATTCGTGGTGGTTACGTATGATTGTTCTTCTGTGTGTCGGTGAAATTATTTTTCTTTCCTCAGAAATACCAGGATTAAAGGTGGGAGGTTTGGCCCAAAATCTCAAGTACATAAAAATGTCAGGTACCTAATGTGTGCTGCGAGACTGATGACTGTACAAATGTTCTTTTTATTTACAGATATCTTGAGCTGGTACTATTATGTGTCTATGCCAATGCCAGCATCCACCTTCACCATTGCTGTGGGGTGCTGGCAGGAAGTTAAGCAGCAGTCCTTCACAGCTGCTATTCCAACAAACACTGAGTTTTCATTGCCATCTGTACAAGCTGATTTCAGGTTGGTGTTTATAATATTGTTGAAAAATGAGATATATGGGTAGAATTTCCATTTATTCTCTGGAATATGAAAATGAGTCATATTAGTACATGAATCAAAATAGAACTTGTTTAATCTGAACAGAAAAACCTTGACAGGAAGATAATTCCAAAGGCATTGTTTCATGGGTGTGGGTGTGGTTCTTTTTATGTGAAAACAAGCCGCTTGGTGAGCAATAGGGTTCATAAATCCCACTATCCTCAGGATTTGTATCCTACATCCTGTGTTGCTGCAGCAATGCCAGTTCCTGTCTTGTTTCTTACAATGTCTATCTCTAAGATCTTTCATGTAACTGGACTCAGTCCACTCTGGACACCTAATGCCCCCTGCTAGAATATTGCCTGCTCACAATTCCCCTCCCCTCACGGACCTCCTTTAGACCCTCTTGTGTCTTCCTTGAGTTGTGAAGACCGGAATGAGACATGATAGTCCAGGTACTGCCTGAGCAGCTCTGAACAGAGGGGGTGGTTGTGTCTGTCTCTCTGCCAGCAGTGCCAGTGTAGCTGTGGGATCTGATTTTCCTTGGTGGCTGCAGTGTCACACCAGTGACTCATGTTCAGCTGACTGTCCCCCAGGAACCCCCATGTCCTGTTCAGCAGGGCTGCTCCCCAGGCACAGTCCCAGCCTGTGCTGGGCTCTGGGCTTGTGTCACCCCAGGTCAGGACTTGGCACTTGTCTGTGTTGCTCCTCTCACTGTTCCTGCTAGTCCCGTTCCTCCTGCCTGTCTGTTCCCTGTAGGACAGCTCTTCCTCTATGTGTCCCTCTAACCACCAGCTGGGTCTCATCAGCACACCTGGAGGCAGTGCTTCCAATCCCACCCTCCAGGGTATTTGTGAAGGTGATGAACAGTGTGAGGCCCAACATGATTTCCTAAGGAGCTCCACCTGTGCCAGGCTGCCTGCCGGAGTGAGAGCCATCCATCACCACTCGGAGTGCAGCCTGGGGTCGGTTCTGTGCTCATCCTGCAGACCACCAGCTAGGCTGTCTCCTGCCAGTTTGTCCAGCTGTGGGAAACTCTAATCAATATTTTGCAAAAGTCCAGGCAAACGACTGCCGGTGCTCTCTCCCCTTGTCAACAGAAATTGCTATTTTGTTGTAGAAGGTGATTTTAGGTGAGTCAGGTCATAAGTATTTGAAACTTTGCCAAAAAAAGCCTTGCCTTTTAGATAGCTGTTTTGGGCTAATGCTGTGTTAACATTAAGACAGTGGAAGTCCTTATGGTTTTGGTAAAGCTAGTGAGATTTTGGAACATGAGAACATAATAGGGTTATTTTTTTTGAATTCAAAATTAAAGGATTCTGATGGCTTGCATCCTGGCTAATTTTGGTTAAAAAATTTGTTATTAATGTTGAAATTTTATTAATGTTATTAATGTAGAAATTTTTATAATTTACCTGGGATCAGTAAGACATGCCTATGCAAATTTTAAAATAGTTTATAGGTTTGATAAGCCTCTAGAAATTGTTTTGTGTTTATTCCTTTGCCATTTTTATGTTTATAATATGACTGCCTCTGCTGAAGTAAGCTGTAGAACTTCACTATAGTATTCCTCTCTACTGTACAGCACATTTGGTAATAGGAATTTTTATTGATTTGGTGCAAAAGATTATTTTGACACAGTGTTGCTACCTTTTGTAAAACTTCTGAAACAGAGGAAATATTTTTGTAACTTTTTGTCAGTGCAAGTTTTAATCCGTGCGATGGTCATTGTTATGAGTTGATCTGTGTAATGGTTACTGGATGAGTTAACTGACACAGTGTGATATATCTGCAGCAGTTGAGTTGGTGACAGTGGAAGAAACAGAGCTAATGTGTCTTGGGGGGGGGAAAGATAAAAAAAATCCCCAAATCCTCTGCAGCAGGGTGTCTATTGCATAGACAAAAAAGGAAACCCTAAGTGTTTTGCAGCTAATTAGGACATAAAAACTTATGTCCTTAGAAATATGCTCTTACAGTTACATCCAGTTGATCTTTATTTAGGGTTAGCACAACAGAGATTGTTACTTATTTTAGTCTCTGAGACCAGGTTACCAAACTAACATTATGCACAGTAGCAGACATTTCTAGAAAGGCTGTGAAATGGATAGAGAAGCAAATATTAAGCCTATGCCTCTGATAAGGTAATGGATATAAACTCTGGGCATCAGGAAAAGGAAGGAGTTCTGAAAGAAGCTATTGGAATGTGTAATGTAATGTAATTTTTATCCAGGTGCCAGTGAGTTTGGCTTAAGGAGACTGTATCAAAGTAAATGTTAAATGGAACTATGGTGTTTTTAACTTTATCTCCTCGTGGTCATTTAAGTACTTGGCAATTTTTACAAGAGAGGGGGTGCTGGCTTTCGTGTTCCTGCCTAATCTTAACTCTGATAATAAAATACAAAGTGACATTGTTTTAGAGCAGAAATATACTGGATTAGACCATGCTTAGAAAAAAAAAAGTGTACTGATGGATGCGGTTTCTTTACATACATAATCAATGAAAGAACTTTGAGTCCACATCTTTGACAGAAAGACTTACGTAAGGTGCTAAAGTGTTGACACTGCAGCAAAATCTTGTCCTTTTCTAGATATTATCATTTTGTTTTCTGTGCCAGCACTTAGCTTCAGCATGATCTTCCAAGTATAAATGCTTTGGGCAATGCTAGGTGCCTGTCCAGGCATAGTAGAACCAGGTTCTTTAAATTGAAATTTCAAACCAAAGAGAAGCTCTCCACTGAACAGAAGACAGGCTAACAGGTGAAAACATGAAGTTGATTTCTGTTTAGATATGAGTCTATTTGGGCAGATAACTTATTATGAAGGTATATGACTCAGTGTTGAGGAAGGATTTGATTTACCCCTCTTTTCTTCCAGCTACAGCTCTGAATATCCTGCAAAAGTAACATAAAGTAAAGCTGAGTCTGATGTGGCATTATTGAATGTCTATGGTGATAATCCTGAGTTGATATTTACTGCTGTTCTTTACTTAAGAAGAAAAAAAGAATCACTAAAAGTGAGAGAATTTAGTAACAGCAACAGAAAAAAATCCCTCATGGAATTTCATTCTAATTGCACATGTTTGTGTTAATGTATGTTAACATGTATGGGATTTTATTTTCGTAGTCAAATTTGAATAGGAATTTTCTGAATAAATGCTTTTTATTGTTATTAGTTCTCTTTGCATATATTTTGAGCATTTATTCCTTTGATGCATATGTGTTATAACAACAAGACGTGACTACTGTCTTTTTAGTTATGAGTAACAATTATCAGTTCTACTCATGTACTAATGAATGTTTTCACAGTGTGTGAACAGTGTGAGAATACAAGTGAGCTGCTTTTATGGAAATTCATTCTGTCTTTCTGATGTCTGGAGAACATCCCTGTCTTAGCATAGTCAGTCGTGCACATTTCTGATCTCACATTAAACTGTTGGTTTGTTTTGTTGTTGTCAGCTGGCATGAAGCAATGTGTGGCCATGTGGGATATCCCTGCCGTTTCCAGAACCCTGCAGTGAGCTGGCAGGCAGTCATTCCTCACAGAGTCTTCTCTCCCTGCTGCCTCGTGGAGCTCTGCGAGGAACGTTTGCTCCCGCTTATCCCTCAGTGCCTCTCGGCTGCTTTCTCCACGCTGGGTACCCACCCCTTCTCCAGGCTTGATGTTTTGATAGTTCCTTCTAACTTCTCCAGCCTGGGAATGGCCAGGTAAAGAAACTTCTTAGTATCTCATCTCCTGTGTTTTGTTTGACTTCTTTTAACTGCGTCAAATTGCTGTCAATATAAAGTTGCTGCACTGTTTTACTTAAATCAACTTAAAACTTTGTTCTGACTTCGTGTGAGTAGGTTTGTTTGCATCCTTTGTGATCTTTATTTTAGTTTTAACAAGACTTCCTTTAGGGAAGGAAAATATAAGCTTATTAGCTGTGTGGGTCTGAATTTCCTCATTTGCCAAACTGAAGTTGTTTTATTGGTTTTGTTGATTTAAGTACTTGATGCTGCACTCATTTTGTCTTGTTTTCTTTTGGCATCGATGCTACCATTATGTTTTGATAGAACAAGGGCATGTTAAAGTCTAGATCTAGAGTTTCCTCATAAGCCTGTCGTGATTTATGAGTTTCTGCTCAAACATTGGTCTTCAGAAGCTGAGTAAGGCAGATTGTAAGGATCATATTATCAAGTTTTCATGGAATTGTGAAAAATAAAAAATTTAAATACTTTTGGTTTTGCAGTATAATTTCCAGTGATGCAAGGACAATAGAATTTTGGCTCTATTAGTTGTAAGACAATGCCTAGCAATTGAAATTCCCCATTCACTTTTAATTTTTCTTTAAAAAGTATTTAAGTTGGTAATGAGAAACTTTTTGTTAATAGCAGAGATCAAAACACTGTTTTTATTCACTAGTGCCAACAGTAGAGTGGATTCATGTAGGCAGATGTACAAAACATCCAAGAGAAGAATTAAAGGTAAAACTCTGTTAGAAAATAATGACTGAAAGGAAAGCTGTATTCCCAGACTGTATAGTTTATATTGTGGAGCTCCTGAGGCAGTTGTCAAATTGGTTTGATATCTGAAGCAATTTTAATAAAATACTTTCATTGTAACTTCAGATATGTAGGTGAACCAGAATTATAGAACCATAGAATGGTTTGGGTTGGAAGAGACACAATCATCTGGTTCCACCCCCTCTGCCCCATGGGCACAGACACTGAGACTGGGTTGCTCAGAGCCCCATCCAGCCTGGTCTTGAACTCATGCAGGGATGAGGCAGCCTTTTGGGTTAAAAGTAGAAAATTATGCTGGCACATAACAATATTTTGTAGTTCTTAGTATAAGTTTACTTGCCTTTTTTTTTTTTTTCTGAAGATCTAGAAAATTTAAAACTTAAACAGTCAGTCACCCTCCTCTGTCATATAAGCCTCGTTGCTTTGTAGATACTTTTTACTGGTTACTGGTTTTACTGGTTACTGAGCTTTCAATGATACTTCTTCACTGAAAGCATCAAGTTGCTTTGGGCCCCTGCCACAGATTATATTCTGTGGTGCTTTGCATAGTGGTTTGATTTGGAGTGAAGTGTGATGTTCTTGAAGCCATACAAAGTTTGCAGAGCTGCTTAGCAATTTTCTCTGACTTCAAAGGCATGGTACTAAAGGGTTGACACAAGTCCTTATGGATCATTGCTGTTATTAAGAAACAGGCCATTTTACTTAGCTTGTGATAAAAAGAGTGATCTGGGGAACCATGAAGGGCAAGACACACAAACAGTACAAAATGAATGAGAAAGCAGAGAGCAATGTCTGGCCAAAATCACAGCACACAGTAGGAGAAATCTTCAGGATTCAGTTGTTGATACGCTACTGCTCTTCGGGAAATTGCCAGTGCTTTCCCTGCATGTTTCCCACAATTTTTAGGGAACAGATGCCTGCAGGTTTCTGTTGCAAAACCATTTGTGATTACTTGAGTCCAGACCTCGTGGTCAAAATACTGTAATTGTGCTTTCTTTGTGAAGAAGGTGAGAAAAACCCATGCTTTCATTCCCCTGTGCTGCTTCTAACCACTGTCAGTTCCAAGTGATACATATAATTGAATATAAGTAAAGGATGAAAGAATGGGTGTGCATACTTCCTGATGCTTTTCATTCAACAATTCCTCAAGCCAAACACATTCAAATTTTTCAAAATTTAAACAATTTAAGAAATAATTTGAGCTGTTTAATTATCAAGTTCTATTTGGGCAGGAGATTATTAAGTGACTCATAATAGCTTGTTTGTTCTTGTTTTGTGTGATTTTTCAAATAGAGGCTTCTATGTATGTAGCAAGCTGCTTAAATGCTTAATTCCTGTGCATACAATGAAAATTGCCTAAATTACTTCAGTTAACAATAAGCTATGTGCAAAACTGTGTCCAAACCCACATAAAGAAAAAAAGTTAGTTATTACCTTGGGTTAAAAAGGATGCTTTTTAATAGTATTAATTTTTTTATCTTCTAGTCTATCTGTAGCAGTATAAACATAACATAGTATGCCAGCACATAGGAGGTACTGTTATGAGAATTCTAATTGTACTCCTGCCTACCAGTGAAGGAAGTCATAAATTTTAGCCATTATCTGAAGTATCAGGGCTTGACAGCATTTGGCATTTTTCTTTGTCTGTTCCTCATCAGGTGATACTTACTGTGGTTTTCATATCCCCAAATACTTCATTTTATTTGGGAGGGATGTTCCCCAGCATTTTAGATTGGGGTGACATTCATGATAGTTCTTGCATGGAGTGACCTAATTAGGCATTTTAAGCTGTCTGTTTTAGTGGCAGCTACTCTGGGTCAGCTGCATTTCTCTTGGAGTCTGATAGATGCTTTATGAGAAAAACTAGTTGAAAGCATATTCATTTCACCTGTGTTTTCTCTACACATTTTCCTGTTTCTCTAATTGGCTGTGGACTCCTGTATGGAAATGGGATCTTGCCTGTGTATAATAATTGCAGCCATCCCCTCTTGCTTCCTGCAGATCTTTGAAGCTGGAGGATTTAGTTTTGTACTCTCTCTTGGTTATATATGGTTTCAGTTCCAGTGATTCAGTATACCTGCTCCTAAATTCATGCTAGTAAAAGAAGGATATGGTCTCTATGTCTTTGTTGATGATATTACATTGAACTGTACATAAATTAAATTAATAAAGCATTGCAGACCATATTTAAATAGTTTAAAAGCCAGAGATTCAATGCTTTCTATAGAATGTTGAGAATCTCATGAACACCTAAGAGTACTTAATTGTCTGATTTTTAAGTTCTTTCACTAGCAGAAGAGAGTGAAGTTGAGTAGAAGGAGTAGGGAAGTGTGTCAGACTGCAAGCCCAAGAGCTCCTAATTAGATTTTTCAAGGAAGAGATCCCTGACCACACGCTACACTGAAAGGTGCACATCATTCATGTACTTGGAGAACTAAGAGATTAGAATCAGGAGATTAAAAGTAGCAGTATGTTTTGATGCTGTTGATGGTACTCTACTCCCTTAGGAATTGGCAACCCCATTGGCATTTAAATATAGGAGGTATTTCACTGTTGCAAATGCTCTCGTGAACAAGCAGTTCCTGTGAACAAAGCTGAATTACTGATTTCAGATTAAAAATAGGGTCTTTACATTGGTTATTTGTGCTCTTCAAATCAGTTCATTCCCAGTCTGGTTTTTTGGATCACATTTGCAAACCCACTGTTCCAAAGTCTCTTCCCACAGACCTACAGCTCAATTTCCTTTCCTTTTGTCAAAACCTGAAGAGACTGAATGCCTTGTCCTTTTTCATTTCCTCAGGAAAAATATTCTTTCAAATGCAGAAGCTCTGACTTCTGGTGCCACCTGAGCCTGTGCTTGAGACCTTGACTTCCCTGTCAGTGTTTAATTGCATAAGTCCTTTCACAGTCACACCAATCTCTTGTGTTGGTGGTGTTAGAAACTGCTTAGCAGCTTTCTACTTCTTACAGAGCAAATATGCTGATGTTTATTTTACTCCCCTGGGGGTTGTAAGCCTTTGTTTGCATTCAGCTGAAGTACTCTTTTTGAAACAATGGTCTTCAAAGTCTTTTGTTCGGCACACATTGTTTAAATAACATAAGATTACTGCTCTTTCTGTTTGAATTAATGTATTTCAGATGTACTAGTTTTGTAGTAAGTTCTAGCACAAGGAAAAATTCTTAGCCAAGTACTGTGTATAAATAACTTGACTAGCCACATCACATGTTGCTGGGATCTAGAAGAATATGATGAGAAAAAAATCCCATGGTCTTAGTTTTTCCTTGAACACTCAGTAATGACTGTGGTATAGGTGGACTTCTGGTCTTACCTAGTTTGTCTGTTCTTGAAGGCAATTATGCCCAGCAGAGCTAGTAAGTTAAATGGAACCAATGAATTTCTGATCAAGATACTGACATTGTCAAAGTAGGAACCTAATGTTATGTTGTTTGAATTCTATTTAGGCTCTAAAATCAGTGGCCTCATTTTCAACTGTGCTGGACACCCTTGAAACCCAGATGATGTTTGGTGATGGAAACATAGAGGATGCTTGGAATATTTGTAAATCAGGTCAACTAGCTGGCTAAATATGGGTGTAGCAACCCAGCTTTCAGTTCGTATTTCTAAAGATCTTATTCACTCTTCTACTCTCATGTAAAAAAGTGGTCTTTGGTATTTAAGAGGAAAGAATACCCCTTTCTTCCGAGCATGGTGTATCAGCAGAACTCTTGAGTGTTTCTGGTCCCTGTCACTAAGGTTGTTAACTTTTTAAATTGAAAGGGAGGAAGGCTCAAGCAGCCTCTTTGATCTGTGCCTCTGTGACCACGATTTGTCTGTTCTGTTGTCTGCAGAGTTACAGTGACTGCTGATAAGTGCAGAGAAAATCAATATTGGAAAACATTCAAGGGTCAAATTTAAATGTAAAACCTTTAGTACTGTTCAGTCTTGCAGAACTGTGTTTGACTCTTTCACTCAGCTGTACAAGTCTTTTGTGAGTCTGTACAGTAGCGAACACTTTTTTGCACAACATTTTCTGACCCTTGGCTGAAGCCTGAAGTGTAATTTGCTACCACTGCAATCACAGTCCTTCATCCAGTTGTCATTTTACTACCAAAACAGGTTTTGCAGTACTTTGGGCATAATATATTTCCTTATTAATGTGCTGAGCTGCCTTATTGGTCTATTAACATTATTCTTTATAGAA